TTTCTAAAAGCTTAGTATCCTTTTTAGGCTTATAATTTCTCACCATATTTATATTAAGTTAATTTATAAACTTAATTATTCTAACAATGTACACACATAAATTTAATATCGAAGCAAGGTAAGACAAACCAGAAATGGTGCAAATCAGAGCACATTTGTCTTGTATAGAGTTAAAAACAAATTTTGTGATTACAGTTATAATATATTTTATAGTTGTTCCACTTAATAAGTATGAACTGTTATTTAAGAAAAGACAACTAGCTATTTATTAGGTATTTTTTTATGCTATTTATAAGAAGAAAGGACAATGATCAATAATTACCCCATCTGTAGGGGGCAACATTTGATATAGTTTCCTATAATCAATAACAATGTTTACAGTAGATGTGAAACAATTAAACAAAAGCTTACACTATTTTTATATCAAAGAAAAATAAAATAACTCAAAATATTTATTATTAAAAGAAGGAGAGGGATCTTTGCAGAAATGTGCACATTTTGAAACCCATCTTTGAAATGGAAAATACAGAAAGCAGTTTAAAAGATACTTATTTTGTTAGATTAAACAAGAAACTATTATTAAGTAAATGTAGTTATACTTTAGTAAAGTATACAAGCATTCTTGTCCATGTCTCAAATTTAAAAAAAAAAATTTCTTTTAAAACTAAAACTTAGGTGATCATTATTTACCCCAGAAACAGAGTGATCGTGAATTACCCCGGGTCACCCTAATTCAACGAGAAGAAAAAACTAATTGTTTATACCGTTAAGTTTGGAGAAAAAAATTTGTGGTAATGCTGGTAAATAAACAAATGAATTATTGATTTTGTAGTGATGACAGCCAAATATTTTCGGATCTTCTTTCCTAAATCAAGGTCTCTATCAAACACAATTTTTGGCGAATATTAATGCGCCGACAACGATGAGAAATGGTTTTTGATCATTATCTTTTAATGTTACATAAACATACATACCCAATATTTTGGAACTTTTCTTTGAACAGCGAAATTTGTACCACTTTCCAAATATTTTGTTAAAAACTTGTGATTCAAAAGAAATAGTTGTCAGGTTTGCGAAAGGAAACAAGTGATATAAGCTACATTTATTTCTTACTGTCTAACTTTAGCATTAAAAAGTTTCGTTTCGTATTTAAATATGATTTGACTGGTTCTTCTTAACCAGTCAAATCATTTTCAATTTTTTTTTAATGTTTGGGGAATTTTATATCAATAACAATAAACTGAAGCAAGTATCATAATATGATAGTTTCAATAATAAATTTCAATACAATCAGTACTCTCTCTTTCTTTTGATCAAATAATTTTTTAACAATAATTACTTTTTACGTTTATGCAGAACACTTAGTTTTTTTTTGCAAATGAAAAAGTCATTGTAGAGTCAATATTAAATTATTTATTTAAAAATGTCTATCCATTATATTATTTATTAATAGATTATTATTTACTGTTAAATTATAATTCAATATAAGTACGAAATTAAAAGTATTTAAACATAAAAATTCTTCAAATTTTTTTTTGTATCTTTTTTAGCATTATATTATAAATCATAAATTTCTGTGAAACAATTTTTTGCTCCTTTTACAAAAATGTAGTTTTCGTAAGACGTACAATATTAATATATTTCAAAGCAATTACTTTTATCTTCTAAAAATCTTAAAACTTTAAGTTTTCTTTTTTGCTACCTTGTTTTTTATTAAAAAAATTATTGAAAATATCGGGAAAAAAAAGTTTTTTTCTTCTCATTTTTGGTGCAAAACGATCAGTTGATCATGACTATCAAGAGTTAAAGCTTAACGAAATATTTTAAGAATAATATTTTTTAAAAATTGTAAAGCGTTTGATGGGTTTGAAAATAAATCCTTAATATCTTTTGAGGAGTTCTTCAAAGTTCTCTTTTTATGAGACTAAAGCAAATTTAAACATTCATTCTAATTTATATGCAAAAATTTAAGATAAGAGTTGAGATCTATTTTTAATGCATAATATATGTTTGCTAAATTCATTTAAGGGGTTTTTTCAAGGGCATTTTTTAGAAAACGCTCTTTCATGAAACAGCATACTTTGTAAAATTCATTTAATCATCCTATTCAAAAGGTTAACACAAAATATAAAATTATTTACACTATTAAGCCAGGGCAGTTTAAAAGCTAATTTAAAGTGACTGGGATATTTTATATACCCTACGAACATTTAATTTTTACTTTCACTATTATTATTTATTCATTCTTACCTCTCAAAGTGAATTACATTCTTTCATTATCAAATTCTAGAACTCTTGTAACGTTTAAGTTAATAAAGTTTTAAGCTAACAAAGTTAATAGTTTTTTCATTCAAATTATTTCCACATGGCACTTATTTTTTGATTTNGGATATATTTTAATAAATTTTATTAAAATATATATATATCATAATAATCGTTTTAGCAAGAAAAAGTTATTTAAATAAAAATAAATTATAAGCAAATCGAAAAAAGTAAAAATAACAAACGTTATTAATATACCCTAATTGAATGAGTAACTAATTTAATATAATAAGAATGGTGGTATTAATTTTTAAAAAATTGGTACACGTTTTCAGAATATCAAACATAACTTTCCTCGAACTACATACATTTACATTCAACAAATTTTGAAAAAAACAATCTAACAAAATTGGCTAATTAAGACAGTATTTTTTGTTGGTTATTAAAATAATCACATTTTTCTAAATAAAAAAGTATTATCTATCTTATAAGAACGTTTAATCCAATCATTTTACGTCATCTAAATGAATAATCCCAAGAAACAGAAGCAGAAATAAGCACTTAATGTTTTAAAAACTTCATTTGCCTCAAAATATTGATGATAATAACAAAAGTCGATAGGTTTCGATCTCTCAAAAATAGGCGCCCATTATCACGACTCGCCAGACGTGAATGAGGAAACAACTAAATCACTTTTGTTTCCTTATTCACGTCAACCAAGTCTTGAGAATGGGTGCCTATTTTTGAACTTTTTTTTCAAATTCTAAAGTATTATCCAGTATATGTTATATTACATGTAACATTCACCAAAATTTAAATAATTAAAACTAAGAAATATCCCCGTTTCAAGTTGTTGTTCATTACTGAAATGTTATTATTATTCTTTAGAATTTTGCTAGCACTTTATTATTTTACTAGCATAGTAATTTTAAGTATGTTTGCGTTTATATAAGGTATAAATAAATTGTACTTAATATTATTTTTTATTTATTTCTATGACATATCTTACTCGTAATTTTATATTGAATTTATTTATTAGTAAAAATTTAACTATAAATTCACTCGAAACATTTAAAATAACAGTAATTAAAAGCTAGAAAAATCTGTGTTATAAATTATTGGCCGTAATTTAATTAAATGTTATATTTTAACTATTATTCTGAAACATTTAATTCAAAATCTAACAGCTTACTTTTTATTTTCATTTACGCATGTCTTTAACCTAAATTATCTGTACTGCTGTTTATATTTAAAAAAAAATTATTAGAAGAATAAAAGAAAATTCCACTAAATGAATTTTAGTTATACTTTCGATTAGTTTTGTTTGCTACATATAAAACATTACAGCAGAGTGTGCTCTTATGTAAATACTCTGAGGTAATTTCTTACTTTTGACAGTGAAAGTGTGACATTGAAAACCACGTGATTATTAACCATTGTTGATGCTCACGTGATTCGTATTTTCTCACGGTTGTGCTACTTATACAGCAATCAGGTATTAAGCAGTTTAAAGTAAATAAAATATTCTCAACTATCATACTTCTTTTTAATAAAAGCAACAAAAAAAAACTAAAATGCGATGAAAACTGTCATTGAACTAATGAGGCAATACTAAGTAATAAATACTTTATGAACGAGAGTTCACTTTTACATTCAGAAACTGAATTATAATAAAAAATTCGTGTTTTTTTTATTAGCAATTATAATGTAGCATCAAATAATAAAATAAATAAAAATATATATATATATTTGTTATTTTACTACAAATATTACCCCTTTGACACAAATGGGACACCGGTATCCCTTCTATATATATCTTTTCTGGGGCTCTATTTACGAACAAAAATATATTTAACTATTTTTTAATTATGTAAACTAACTAATTTGACTAATAATTACAAAAAAGCCTGTTAGATTATCGGAATTGTATCAGTACTAAAATATAAAATCCACGAAAAAAGTTCAAATTTTTTTTATTTTCATTCATATTCAAAAATTTATCAATATTATTGTATATTAAATAAATTTCAATGATGACTAACTGTTAATCTTAGATCTAAATAACTACAAATAAGTTCAATTTTGAAAAATTATCTCTTGGAAGTGAGCTGTGTTTGGACGATTTTAACTTTTTAACACAGGAAAAGACCGCATTTCGTAAATAGAAATTATTAAAATGCTTAAAATAAAATTTTTCACTTATTTGACCTAAATTAATACTAAATAACGTAACAAGCATGAAAAATATGTTTTACAAGAATTCTGCTTAATAGAGTTAATGTAAGGAAATCCTTTCTCTCGCTTTTAAACCTAAAAATTTGATTTTAGAGAATTGAGTTTTGATTAAAGAGAATTTAATGAAATATTATTAATTATACATGGTTTTTAATTTTTTTCTCTCTCTGTCTGTCTTACAATTTCCTGAACTGAACACACATATGATTGTTGTCTCCTTAATCAAAGCGATTGCAATCCACTCTATTTTTAAAAAAAAAATTTTTTTTTAAACTTAGGAACTTAATCAGGGGACAAAAATTGGAAAAGTTGCTTCGATTTACGATAAACAACTTCGCCTAAGTTTAATTCGTATATAGAAACAAAATAATGAATGACTATATATTTTCAATGTTATCAAGCTAACGAAAACAAAAAATTGTTTTATAAATATGTTCATTTAAATAGAGGACATAAAATACTATGATAGAATAGAAATTTACGAACGAATAAATTTGGCTTACCTGTAAGGCGATCATGCTTTTTTGTTGATATGCGTTAGCCCGGTATTGCACTTAACGTTTGCACTTTCTCCCTTTCTCCCACAAACTCTCTCTCTCTCACTCCCTCTTAAAACACCAAGTTCAATCTGAGTGTGCTAAAAGCTCATGCGGCAGGTTACTCAGCAGGTGCACACCATAAGCAACAACACCAAAAGAACAAAACAATAAAAAAAATGAAGAAAAATGTATAAAAATAAATTAGCAACATCTCTTAACTCTCAAGGGCTCATTTCATCGTCTGCTAGTTCTTTATTTTACCGGTAGGAGGAGAATATGGAGAATCGTCTGCGTATTGATTCGTTGAATTTTTATTGTTTTTTTTCTTTATTTTTTGATTTTTACTGGACTTACCATTCACTAGAGGGAGTACGAGGCGGGACTTTTAGCTCTTTTCAAGGTGGGCTAGCAGGGGTGGCGTGGGAAAAAAAAGTGGACGAACTTTTCTGCCGCATTTTCATTTTTTCTACCTTGAATACTATTTGTTTATTTTTTTCGTTATTTCCTTTTTTTTACTGCTCGTGATCGTCTGCTGGAGTGTGCGATCAAATTGTGCGGTTAATGTGAAGTGGGGGAGGGCAGGAAGTTCGGTCGGTCAGTGCGGTTTAAGCCCCGCCTAGGATACGAGTTAAAACAAGATGGGGTTTTCCCACTTTTTTTTTAAAGTTTAGGACGGATGAATGAATGATTAGAATTTATTTTTTCTTCTCCCAATCAGGTAAAAGAGTTAAAAAAGTTTAAATGATTTTTTTTTATTACGATTATTAAATCTCGTGAAATGCTTTTATAGATCTTTTTTGAAGCTTTAACGAAATTTAGAAAAGTTTCGATGAAAAGTTATAATTGAGTTATTATCATTATTTTTAATACGTGTTTTTTCTTCAAAAAAAAAAAGGCGCCTAATTCTGTACGAGATTGCCCCTTATTTTAAATTTAAACGTAAAAATTTTCGAAATTTAGGGGGTAATGTTCCGGTTTTCTTAGGAATAACGAACGAAATATAAAAATTATAGAAATTCTTTAGCAAAAACACCGATAGCCAATTTTCTAAACAAAGACTATTTAGAAGATTATTGTAACTAGTGGATAATTATTAAAATATAATTTAATTAAAGCATCGTTTAGTTAAAATACACAAATCTAGGCGATAAATATAGTGATATGAATAACTGAAATTCAGAAAGAATTCAGAAAGATTTAACTCTCAACATGTATTAAGTAAAATAACATGGGGAATATATAAATTTAAGCTACTTTATTTCTCTATATTGTAAAATCATAAATAACGTTTCCTACGTTTTGAGTGTTCATTCCATTCCAGTATATTTTATTTTAGCTGTCCAAACATTATGCAACTTAGAAATTTGAAATGATGCAGTGATGCACTGTAAAAAATAAATGTAAATTCTGCAGGAAAATAAACATATTTTTCGCAAGAAAAAAAAAAGAAAAAAAAACATTTTTTTTTAACTGTTATCCACGAATTGTAAAAAATCATGTTTTACGTATTTTCTCTGTATGTTTGACGGTTTAAAGCTGTTTCGTTGACTGTATTTCCTGTTTTTTTACCCTATTCAAAAAAGGATTGAAATCGTAAGTTCAAAATATAGTTTGTGCAATTCAGTTTTGCTTACCGTACGATCACTTTACCTTTATTTTAAATAATTTAACGATTATTTTCTATACTTGCTCTTACTTTTCAGCAATTATTTATGTCTTTTTCAAGAAATTATTTTATGGTTTTTACTTGTCAGCAATTATTTTATAGTCCTTACTTTTTTTTCTTCCTTTTTATGGGATTTTTCTCACTTTTATTTATGGTTTAAATTATGATTATTTATCCATTGATGTTGTAAAGTTTATTTATCTCTCTCAATATCTTTATTTTATAAGTTGATATTCAGTTGATATCGAAATTCATAAAAACGAGAGATATAAATTAGATGTTGCCATTTATAAGTATAAATCTTAACATTTATATTGGAGTTTTCAAAAATATAAGAAATCTAGATCCAGATAGAAGAAACTATTTCTTTGACGATATAAGTCACGTTAACGAGTAAAATTACTCCTCATTGTTCACACAATTTTTTTTCGAATACAGATTATTAATTTTCTAATCTAGGTAATTGTTGATATTGTTAGGATAACAATAATAAAAAATATTCTTACATAAAATTATAATAGCTATCTTTATTTTACATATATTTTTTGTTTTTGTTGAAAATATTGATTTTTAGGGGGGGGGAAACAACGATGAATGATTAGCAATCAATGGTTTAAATAGGATAATAGGAGAACCTTCCCACTTTAAGCAAAAAATACTAAATATCTTTCAAGTTAATATGTAAGATTTTTTTATTATATATTTAATATTTTTAGTTTTATTAATATATTTGAATTGATATCGTAATGGATAAGATCAAAAATAAAACTATGAGGTGAAAAAAAAAGTGCGTTCAGTCGTAAGCAATAGTTCTAGGTTACTAAAGAAAGAAAACTTAAACAAAAAGCACGAGGCTTAAATCTTTAAAATATATAAAAGTCTATTAATTAAATTCTATGCGTATTCACCGTTTTTTTTTTTTTTNTTTTTTTTTTTCATTTTCACTTTTAATTACTCCTCCAAGTTATTCCCAAAATTTTTTTAAGATCTCCTGTTACTCTTTGTGTTCCCTGTTAATTTCTTTATTCTTTCACACTCTCTTTATCATCTGTGAGTTCCATCACTATCTTTTGTTCATCCCCTTGTTTTATCACCACTTTGTTTACCTCATCGCTGTTTTTCCACCATACCACGATCTTCCCCTATCCTCTATCACCATCTCGTTTTCATCCCTGTTTTCTATATAACTATCCCCAGTTTATCACAATCTAATCATCATATGAGTATTCCATCACCATCTTATCTTTCTCCTCAAATTTTATCACTATATTATTCATTTCCTTGGCATTTATCCCCACCCTGTATATTCCTGTATATCCCATTCTCATATCACTCTCGCTTTCTGTTCATTTTTTTGTTTTTTGTTTTACCAGAGTTTATGATAATAGCTTTTACGTTACATTACGGTTTCTCGTTAACGCAAGCGCTAATTAAGCGTAACAGCGCATGCGTGTAAATTAACGTAAGAAAATAGCATATGCTTTTAAATACAGCTTTTGCATTACGTTTGGCAGAACCTTAACGTTAACGCTATATCTCACACATTTTAATTTATGTTGATTGTTATTGTTGCGCTGTGCGCCGTTCGAAAGCTATTTTCTTCTTCTTTATTTTCACTTTTTCTTTATTTTCATTATTTTTTATTTTATTATACTTTTCAAAATACGAATAATTCGCTGGAATCAGTGATGTATGAAGGTATAAAAGAGGGAAAAGTAAAGAAAGCGCTTATGTTAAAATTGTCGCAATTTCATCAAGAGATATACTTCCGATAGACGAAATAGGCCAGAGTGAATTTTCTTTGATAAGAGAATTTTTCAAGATTATGCGAGTTTACTTTAAATGCAGTTCAATTTTTTTATTTTATTTTAATAATTTACTATTTCTTATATAATTTGTGAATAATATTAGAATGAAAAGTAAGAAATTTACAATTGTATTAAAAAATTGCTTTTTAACGTGTAGCGTGTTATGTAGTAATGGACTATGTTTTAAACATTAATATTAATTGCTAAAATATGCTTTTATTCACTAGCTCATTCTGTAACTTTTTAAACCGAAGCAAATAGATGCTAAAATTGATTAGTCTTTTAATAGAGCTTGATCATAAGTACTAATTGAATTTAAAAAAAAAATCCGCCATTTACTGAAAAGCAAAACTAATGGAGAAATGTAACTAGTTCGATTAAGAAAAGCGCGTAAAATATAGCCATACTATTATTGTCGCCAATAATGCTTAATTAATTTCAGCAATCGGTTCTAATTGAAAGAAAAAAATTACCATGTATTAGAGGCAAATTTAATGGAAAAACTTTCGAAACGAGTTCAATGGAAATTAAATTAGTTCATTCAGGAAAAACATAAAAAATCGCCATCTTATTATTATCCTAAAGCAATTTAGAAGGGAAGAATTATAGAAGAATTTAATTTTATTGAAATTGTGAACATAAATCTTAAATGAAGTTTATTCAAATTATATATGTTAGTATATGTTGTGCTCCTATATTCTTTTCGATCGATTGCATAGTACAATGATTTTAAAAAAGAGTGCAACAGTGTGAAAATGCTAATTTTATTATAAAAACACTATTTTGTGTACTCGGTTCATCGAAAACAAATAGCGAAAGTAAATAAAGTAACCTGACACTTGGCATTAGTTTTAGCTGATTAACACCGAGCTTATGATAAATAGCGCTAAACTGACTGGTAGTTATTATTATAGCCGTCGTTGAACAGCAGACCCAATTTTGGGTTCACGACTACTAATGTGCAACTCCGTCTCCTAGCAATTTTGATCCTAATCCAGTAGACAAGGGAACTTCTGGATAATGTGTTGGGGGAAATTTTGGCTTCGTGGAGGACTGTTTGATGGAATTAACCCACATATGCGTTACATGGAGAGGAAAACCGTGAAAATCTCCCACGGTTAGGTCTACCGCTGAGATTATTTTACGCCAGCACTCCGGGAACGGAATTCATATCGACCAGCCATCGCTGGGATTCGAACCCGGTTCACCTCATTGGAAGACGAACGCTTTATGCCCTGACCCATCATAGCTCTGACTGATAGTAAAGAAATAATTGCTGATTCAGACAGTAGATAATGTTGGCGATAAAAAACTATTATGTTTACTTCCACTATCAGTTATCGCTAAACAAAAGTTTAGTTGTAGAATATGAAATTTACACACACGTTTACAAATTTTTTTAAACATATTATTGCACTCCGCAAACGATCCCAATAAATTTGAGAGCAGTATAGTATACAACTGGTGATAGTAAGCTGAACAAATATAGAAGTACATATAGTATACATGTACATTGCAGTACATTGTATCCAATAGTTCGTGTCAGAGTAACTTTCCTTACTTAAAATTGCGAAAATATTACGCATTACCTCCACTATTGCTCTGCGGAACACCTTTTTCGATAAGGTTCTGCGGAGCCCTTTTTTCGGGATCGCTGGTTCAGAAGTTTATTAACAGTTGTTTTAACTGTTAATAACAGTTATAACAGTTGTTAATAACAGTTGTTTTAACTGTATAGTGATGGAAAGTTCTCAGGATAAATACTTTAAGCGTCATTGAAAATTATTTTAGAAATTTAGTATACAG